TGTCATCCACATCCTGTAACCATGACATAAACTGCCTTGCATTAAATCGGTCTCTAACTGATGCTTTACTGTCATCAGTCTGTAAATTAAACATATTAAAATTATACCTGTTAATTATATGTCCACTCATTCCCATACTATACAATGTCTTTGATAGATCTATATGATTAATGATAACTACAGTTTGTCTGTAAAGGTGATATTATTCTTAGAGAAAAACGTACAATATTTCAATTTAGTGGAAGAATTAAAATTTAAAAATGTGATTTGCTAGGCAATCCAGAGAAATCTTTATTGCACAATCTCTGTTCCACTATAGGTAGTCCTCCCTTAAACCTCACAGTTGGGACTGTCAACTCTGTCACTTAAGTGATGCAGTCATTAAACAAAACTTCACCTGACCACACTGCATTTATGACAACAGTTCTGCAGCACTTGTTACGCAAATCACCCATGGACATGAAGTGAGACATCATGTGATTACAACTTAACAATTTTACTGCTGGCTTCTCTATTGGCTTTGTATATTGGAAGCCAGCTGTGAAGTTTGCAAATATGATGCTGCGATGGTTGTAAATCTGCACCTGTTATGAAGCACCTAATTGTTACTCAACCTGTATCTTTTTATAGCCCTCTACAGTGTGTCTTCTTCATATGCTATGTCTTTAATAATATAGTTTTAATTCAGCAATACAGCTGCATTGTAAGCTCTATTAATACTCTTCTGACAGTTCATAAAACATCTATATTTTTTTCTACTGCCTACAGCCACTTGGCTTCAAGTCATATGCAAATGTAAATAAATTTTACATTAGTATCACAATGCCTTCTTTGTGGAATGAATGAATTAATATAAATAGAAAGAATTTTATGTATTTGGAAATTTATAACATGAAACATTTTAACATAATTGCAATGCTCACCATTTTATAGCAATATTTATAACCATTCGCTTAGAAAATCAACAGCGATCATGGTAAAATTTGGTAACATTCTAAATATCTGGTCATCATTTATAAGATAAATATAAAATGGAGAAAATCTTTAGGGAATATATACAAGAACTTAAGGAGAGGTATGGTTGATCAAACAAAGTCTACCCAACCTACAATGTTTCAATGAAATTTAAGGTGTCACAAAAGCAACTCCAACTTCTCATTTATAAAAATCCACTAGTCAGACACATATTCCTTTTATTTTTTTAAAAACTAACAATTAATGTATATTTTTCATGAATTTTAACCCATCCCTTAAGTTATAGTGTTGAAGCCATTACTGATTATATTTCATACTAATAAATTCCTTAACTATGTATTGCATTAAAAGCATCTTTTTGTCTTCCTTGAATAAAACTGAAGAACCATGAACAGTGTTATAAAACATATGCATGATTTTGAAGAACTATATTATTGTGTATCACTGTATTTCATTAATTTTACATAATGGATGACAAAATTAACTATAAAAACATTGTCCATTACAACGTTTTGTAATGCAGTCCCTTCCCAAAACTGAGGATCAACACAATAGCAGCCCCCCCCCCCACACACACAAATAGTACGCTACACTTCAGAAATTCTGAGGAACAGGACTAGATCTTTACTGTCTTTCAAAAAGTTGAGAGAAGGGTACAACCTGCCCTTGTGAGGCAAAACTATTTTAAAAAATGGGGAGACCACTAAAAAGGCCTTCTCCTGGACCTCTTTTCCAAACATCTCTTAGAATACTCCCTCAGACGTATGTTTGTATGTGATTTAAAGGTTTCAAAATTGTCTGATTTTCACTTGCTTATAAGACAACAATCAAAAGTAACAAGGTAAATGATAATGAAAACATAATGATAATAAAAAAGCTGTTTTGTTGTGAAAAAAGCTGTTTAGGGTAATTCAGTTTTCCGTGGTAATGACATTGCCAGAGAGAAGCAGCACAATCTACCTTCGGTTTTCTTTACCTACTGGAAGTGTGGGACATTAGTAGCTGTTCCCAAAATGATCTGATACATCAGGCAAATGTTGGGAACAGTAGTTCTCTAGATGCCCAAGTGCCAAATATGAAGGGCTTTATACTGGTAGGTCAACACCAGCATTTTCAATTCTACTCAGAATTGTAGCTCTGCTACAATGATGTTATAAACTTCCAGTGTTAGGAATGCAAATATGCAAGCTACATATTCCAAGCCAGTTTCAAAATAATTATTAAAGGGTGGCTCATGTAAAGTGAGCTACAGTAGTCCAATTGAGTGGTGATGATGGCAACAGTTTTTGGTGTTAGGAGTGGGTGGCACAGTTTTGCAGTGGTTCTCTTTCCTTCCTCCATAGCTGGTTCCAGTTAGTGTTGTTGGGAGGTGGAGAGATTGAGCCCCGGTCTCTGCAACTGAGGCACCCCAGGGCTCAAGATCTTAACCCTAACCCTAACCACTGAGCATGGGATGCAGTATCCTCAGTATAGCTATACATTTCGCCTTGAAAGGCAGATGATGCTGGTATGGTACTGGCTAAGTGCCTGGAGCTGTAAGGGTCTGGATGGGAAGAAACTAGCCTTGATCCAACCCTGGTAAAATGGAGTGGCTTTACGTTTTTGATCTCTCGGGTCCAGGTGTTACATTTTCTTTGACTCTGGAAGGGAAGCACTTCCCTGGATTGAGCTGGTATGCAATTTGGGGGTCCTCCTACACGGAACTTGCTTTACCTCCACAACATCTGGGAGGCTTTGCTCTTGGTCATTCATGCCTTGGTCACTTCTGCTTGAATTACTGTAATGCACTTTATGTAGGATTTCCCTTGAAGAATATATGGAAGTTACAACTACTGCAGAATGTGGTGGCTTCCATAACACTCTATGCTTCTGGGTTCATCCACATTACAATCCTGTTGTGCGAGGTGCACACTGGCTTCCAGTTTCCTTCTAGGTGCAATTCAAAATGCTGGTTATTACCTTTAAAGTCCAAATAGCACAAGATTAATTTATTTGTGGGACTGTTTCTCACTAAGAACATCTGCCTGTCCTACTAGATCAGATAGGGTGGGCAGGCTCCTAGTCCCTTCCCTTTAAATGTTGCCATTTTATGGACCTAGGAAGTGTGCCTTTTCTGTGAAAGCTTAATGCCTATGGAACACACCCTTCTCCAAGGTTCAGCAGGCACCCATCCTTTTAACCTTTAAAAAAACACTTGCTTTCTTCCCAAGTGCTAGAATACAGCAAGGTTGATGGGATGAACCTGTTGTGGGCTGAATGAGAAAATTTAGCTATAGTGCCAGTCATTTTTGTTTTAATGTATTTATTTTACTGTAGATAGATAGTGCTTTATTTTGAGGTTGTGAGCCACCCAGCAGTAGGCTTGAGATGGACAGCTTTAGAAATGTTATAAATAAACAAACAAACAAACACATACATATGCATATACACACATACTATAATTGTGTCCTACAGCAGGTATGATTGCAATTTGCATACCAGCTTATGCTGGCAAAACTGCCTTTTTAACTATGGCCTCCGCCTGCTGTTCTAGCAGGACCCCCAAATCACAAATCTTTTGTTTCATAGGCGTTGCTTATCCATCCAAACACAATACTAGTTATCAACAGATGATCCCAAGACAAACAAACCTCATGGAAGAACACAAAGGCACACAACTACTATTTTCAATTAACTGAATGGATATAAACTTATATTCACAATGAGTCAATAATTTTCCTTTTACCGTATTTCTTCAAACAACTTTTTTACCTGTGTATCAAGAGGCACATTATATACTTCAGCATCCAGCAGTACCGTACATGCACTAAAAGGCAAAGTCTGATTTGCTAAAGTTCTTGCTGCTCGATAATGGACTCGTAGTACTTCTTGCTCATTGGAAACAATAAGTTTTTCCTAATTAAATTAAAAGACATATAATTTAGCTAAATCATATAATATTTTATTATCTCAAAGATACATCTTATCACTCTGAAAAACTAATCTTTCTTACTTATGAAGGAATCCTGTTAAAAATATACAATGCATTGTATTTTAAAATTCTCTTGAAAAAAATTGAAATATTTAGTTCTGAATCAACCAACTTAATATAATTTCTTCTCATTTTCATTTAAAAAATGAAAACCTCTTAAAAGTGGTGATCAGTCAGTAGACTTTACTTCATTCTTACCCTTTCAATACTATGTTGTAAACGAAGTTTCATCCTTACAACTTCTTGCTGTCTAAAGAGTTCCTTAAGTGGATCAGATAGTGATGGTGGTGGTGTGATCTGTGAAAGAAATATCACTTTGATATAAATCTGTATATGCAAAAGATATATATTCTGAATATGTAAAAGATACATGTGATGGGAGGTAAAAATTACAGTATTTGAATGGTGGCTAAAATTGGAGCAAAACTGAGTATAAAAAAATGAAACACTTGCTGTATATTCTCTTGAACTTTTTAAAATACAGTAATTTTAAAATACACTGGGACCTAAGGTTGGGCTTGATGTAAGGCTTGGTTCTAGTAAAATTGATTGTTCATACAAGATTATTCTAAATATCTGCAATCTTGCATCACCAACTCATTAGGCTCCCAAGAGCGTCATCAACAATACACACCAGAAAAATATTACCATGCATTTAAAATGCTCTTGCCAGAAAAATATAAATAGGAAAAAAATGTAAATCCAGACAAAAAGCCTATGCAATGTCCAGTTTTCTACACTTTGTCAGCCTAAAGTTATCTGCTGTAGCTGAAACCAATCCTGGAAATTTTCCTTCCCTAATGAATGTGTGTACACACACACTTGTATGTACACAGACATAATCAGCAGTCACACCAAAAAAATCAGGGCCAGGTCAAGGATGACATACATATATAAAAATACAAGTAGTATAACAAAGAACTATTAAATGCAATAAATAACTAATTAAAATTGCTTGTAAAGTAAGATAAATCTTTTATAAAACAAATCCCACATCTATATATATAAACACACGTGTACTCATGTGTTCCCTATTTTTTTTTCTGAAAAATAGCAAGAAACAACCAAAAAGACAAAATAAAGGCTGAAGAGAACAAGGAAGGAAAGAAAAGAGAAAGGGGAGGAAGAAAACCAACTGGAGATGAGAGAGAAGGGGAAAAGGTAACTGAACAAGGAAAGAGAGCAAACCCTTATTTAGATATAAAAAGTGTCAAAATTTCTTTGATTAAACACTCTCAAGAAATTGCTAATCTTTAGTTAATTTGCAAACGCATTCAGCAGTGAAGTTTGCTATTATTTGCACCTCCTGCTTCTTGTTTTCTCCTATTTCTTTTTATCAGGCTGTCTTCATAGATATTTATGGGGGGAAGTTGTATATCTATGAATTGATATAGGATAAATAAGATGATTTTTTACCAAACTACCACATTTAATACATGATAACTAAACCAATTTGCATCCATTTCTTTGTATAAATGCTGATGAGCTATTCTCACTATGTATAGGAATTTATGTAATTAAAAAAATGGAGGAATGTACTTGAGCAGGAACCATCAGCCCAGGTTGATCTCCAAGTTGCAGAGCACCTCTGAGCAGAGGAATGCAACCGTATTCAAAACCAAGTATTACCCTGGAATAATTTAGCCAAAGGTCCAAAGTCAAGCAGTTTTGAAAAGATTCAAAGTCTGTTCCTCTCTATCTAGACTCTGACATTCGCCAAATATATGGTTTCTCCTGTATCACCTGCCTGATGAGGGGCCAAGACATCTAATTTATGGTATATAAATCAGTTGGTTGTACCATGTGCAATTTTTCATGATGCACTCAAGATATCTTTTTAAAATTCTTTATTTGCAAAATATGCATTTTAGATTTGTTGGAGGAGCGAATATATGAGTAAAACATGATTATGTCTGCATATTCTGACTGAGCTTTATCAGCAAGATAACACCAATATTGTTAACTTACAATGAAGTAAAGTTTTGAAAGCAATCACTAAGAGCCAACAATTAATTCTATAGTAACTCAAATTCCTAGTTACTTACTGTTGGAATGCATATCTTGCTCAGGGGATTGCCATCTAGGAGGTATGATCCATTGAAGGTTACATATTCATCATAATACTGGGGTGCTTGAGGAATAACGCTACATAGTAATTTACGTTTCTCTTCTATTTTCTTTCTTATATGCAAATATTCAAAATATGGATTTGCTCTCTCTGAACTGTATGGCTGAATCTCTTCTAGTTTTAGAGAGTCTACAACAGCTGCCAGAGACTGATGAGTTTTTTCTTTAGCTTGCATTAAAGATGCATTTATTTGAACAGGCTGAGGAACACGTGACAGCTTTCTTTTACGTGGATGATGTGGCTGAGCATCATCTTCCTCAGTTAATCTTATCCGTCCTTTCAAAGAGGCCGATGAATCAAAATCTCTTTCTGAGATCTGGGAGCAACCAGAAAGATTCTGCTTACTTTGATTAGCAAGGATATTTGCTCTATTCCTTGTAATTCTTTGAGGAATTTCATAGTGTTGTGCTTTGGGATCTTCTACGGCTTCTTCCAATTCTAATTTAATAATTGGACTAAATTTATGTACTTCATGTCCAGTTAACTGTGAATGGCTTTCCAAATTAGGTGGTAGGTACTGTTGCCTTTCTTCCACTGAATTGTTTTCTGCACTGTCCATATTAAAAAAATTTCTATTGTACTCATTTGTAATTCCTTTCAGCGTTCTACCATTTAGATCTTGAAGATCTAGGTCATTTTTATTACCAGCCATATGGGATGAACAGATGTCAATGGAATGGGTTTTTTCACTTTGGAACTGAATGTCAATTACACTATTATCAAGTTCTTCAGCTTGTGACGTTTTATAAATGAGCTTACTTACTGCAGATGGATTTGCACTGGAGTGTAAGCGAGGATCATTTGCAACAAAATCCTTTTCAAAATTTTGTGAAATATCTTTAGTAATATTTTCAGGATAAACTGTGATAAGCATATCTGCCTTTTTGTTGTTTGACAAGACACTTTTTTCTATCTTTTTTTTGCTGGCAGCATCTATGTCTAAGATTGAATTGCTAGGTTGAATGGAACTTTGTGGGTTCTTAATCAGAAGCTCTTGGCTGTTTGTATCTGACAAACCTACATGCTTTGACATATAAATTGTATCTGTGCTTGGCTGAATCTGAGAAGGGCAACATGACTGAACAGACAAAAATTCTGCCATTTCCTGGGATGTAGGATTTGATATATTTTCAGCATGATGATAAAAAGATTCAGAACTTTTCTGCTCTTTCATAGTTTTATTTTCAAAATTATTTATGGCTGAGATATTTGTTGCATCAAGCTCACAGCCTGAATAATTTGAACAGGAACACTCACTATTTAATGAAATAAATCTATCCAAAGGCACATCCCATGTTTTACTTGATGGAGTCGTATTATGTTCTAAATATGTATGACTTTCTCCTGATGAGCTTGAAGGGGCAGTGTTTTTACCAACTGCATCTAATGCATTAGGTTTATGAACAGGTCTACTTGGGGATAAAGCAGAACTGGAATACAAGCTGGTCAGTCCATTCTGGGAATCCTTTTCAAGCAAATTGCAACATTCATGTTTAGGAAAAGAATTATAACTTTGAACTGAGAGCAAAGTACTGTGATTAATTTCTTCTGGTACTCGGGACTGTTTTGTATTTTCATAAACAGACGGCATACTGCATCTTCGTACTTCTACAACTGGTCTGCAATCATTTATAACAAATTTTACATCTTCGACTGATGCTGATCTAATATAAGCTGGAGGAAGTCTGTTTAAAGTAGGTGCTTTATTGCGCTCTGGCAATTCTGACAAATTATCATTCTCATAGTTTGCAGGTGATTTGGCACTAGGCAAAAATGGTGAATGTGAAAAAGACATTTGAGAATCAGATCCTTCAAGCATAAAATCTGAATCATACTCAACAACAGGTCTTGGAGGAGTTACTGTAGTATGACAAGAGTCCTCTGAGCTAGCAATTGAAATCATAGATATTGATCTGGAGGTTAGTCCAGTTTTTTCACTTTCTGATCTAGGAGACCTACTTAAGCTACTGTCCAATGCTAGGGATGGTTTTCCACTAGAATTTTTTATATCAACTGACACTGATCTACTGCTGGTAGCATCTTTTAGCTGCTTATCTTTCCCAGAAGCATCTGATAACTCTGAGCTCTTTGAACGAATCAGTTCTTTGTTCTTTGATTCAGTAAGTGAATATTTTATTTTATCCTTATCTTTTATTTTATTAAGTTCAGTACAGGATCGATTCTTTAATCTTTCTTTTTCCTTCTGTTTTATTTTTTCTTTGTGTTTTCTATGCCACTGTTCAATTTCCAGATCTTTAAGACTAAGCATTCTTTCAAAGCTTGTCTGCATCAAGTCATCATTTAATAATCTCTTTTCTTTAGGTCGAGTGTCTTTAGACACTGGTAATGGTTTAGATTTAAGCTTTTCAGTTTCAGATTTCAATTTAGATACATTATTTTGTTGCATTTTATCTTTATATTTGTCACGCTCTTTGTATCTATCAATATCTTTATCTTTTTTATCCTTCTCTCTTCCATCAGGAGTTTTCAGCAATTCATCCTTTGGCTTCTCTTTTAAGAATAAAGTTTTTTCACTACTGCATTTTTTCTCTTCTGCTGTTTGCTTCATGTTTGTAATTACTGAACTATCACGTTCTTTCGGTTTCTCTTTTTTTTCCATTTCTTTTTCTTTGTTTCTACTCTTTTCCATTTTAGAATATTCACTATCCTTTTCAGAACTCTTGCATTTCTTATCATTGCTGGTTTTTTCTTTAGATTCGGAAAAGTATCTATCATTTTTTTCTTTATCATGCTTCTTTTCAAATCTATCTTTGATTTTTTCTTTGTCATCAAGCTTTTTAATAGTATTGAAGCTTTTTAACTTATCATGTTCTTTATTTGTTTTTTCTACCTGTTGAATGTACACCTTTTCTTTTTCTTTTATTTTTTCATTATTTTCAAGAGAATCTGATTTATCCTTTTCTGCTTTGTGTTCACATTTTACTTTTTTTTCTTTATCTGTATTTTTTCTATCTATTTTTTCAATAGAAGAGTTTCGCTTTTCATTTTTTTCTCTGTGATCCTTTTTTTCTTGTTTATCAATGTCCTCCTTCTCTATTACAGTTATATTTGACAACATATCCCTAACACCTAAAGAGAAAAAATCTGCTTCTTTATCAAGAAATACGTTATGTTCTTTTGTTTTCTCTTCCTTGTCATTTTCTTTTTTAGTTTTTTCTCTTTCTTTTTCTTCTCTAAAATGTTTATCTTTTTGAAAGCTTCTCTCTTTCACATATTTGTCTTCTTTAATTAATATCTTTTCCAATTTAGATTTCTTCTCTGACATTTGTGGGTCATGGTCTACAGTTGACATATCTTCTGCCTCATCACTTTTGAAAAAATTTTCTTTCCAAAATTCTCTATCAAACTCAACATTCCTCTGGACATCCTTGGAATTCTCCTTATGCTTATATCTTTCTTTCTCTCCATCCTGTTCCTTTTTATGCTTATCCCTATCCTTTTCTTTATGCTTCAATTTATGCTTTTTAAGCATTTTCCCCTCCTTGTCAGTCTTCTTCATCATAGTGTCAGAATTTTCAAAGATTGGACTGTTATCTTCATCTTTGGACTGTTTAGGACTGGATTTCTCACTAAATTCTAAAATAATTTCTTTCTGATGCTTACTTTTGTCTCTGTTCTTGTAAGACTTATTACTAGAATTTTCTAAAAGAAAATCAGTATCTGCATTATGGTCATATCGAATTAATTCAGATTGTGAAGTTACCTCTGATTCTTCTGGAGATAAACAAATTTTAACATTTTCTTGTTTAAATGTTGAAGACTGTTTTTCATTAATGCCACATGGATGTTTAGGGGATCTACTAGGAGTAATATGGAGTAAGGATAAAGAAGAATCCTCTTTCGGGCTAAATGTTTTTCGGAAATTGTCATCTTCTTTGCTTTTGTCTAATGATTCTAACAGAGAAACACCCAGGTTTGTCAATCTGGAATGATCTTTTTCCTGTTTTAATTGCTGATTTTCTTTATTTTTGCTTTGATTTTTTACTTTTCTTTTAACTTTTCCTTTTTGTTT